CATGTTTAATCTTGATCCCCACCCACCACTGGCAGATGGCTCGAGGTGGCGCCAATGCACATCATTGCATCGATCATAGATTCTTTCGCAACAATTCCCCCTGATATGGCAGTGGATCAAAAATCGTTCCTGTGGCTGTGGATCGTGAAAAAAACCTGTACAGTACCTGTGGACACCAGCAAAACCCCAAAGCCCAAGCCTGCACATGTCGTTCAATCGTTCCAGGTGCGTTGGAATTCTCTTTCATATGGAGGTTTATGGTGCTGCTCGCAAGGGGACTTGTTGCTGACCAAGTTTATGATTCTAAAGAAGGGGTTGCCGAACGCAGTTTCATTCACGACTTTAAAGCCATTAGATCAAACAAGTGCATCGAGTATAAAAGACTCCTCCGCGTTGCTCAGAGGCACTCGGGTACTGTAGGCCATCAAAACACCATGCCACGCCAAATGTCTTGTCGGGGTTGATGCGCTAGTTTCCGTATACATTGGGATAGGCTCTCAATGCCCCTGTCGAACCTGTCAACTGTCAATGCCCCTGGGATGTGTTCTGCCCAAACCTTCGGAATCTTACAACTCATGTTCCCGGCGTGGCATGGCGTGGCTAAGGCCGAAGGTAAGCAGGCTGTTGCACATCAATGAGCCAAAAGGACAGAGAAAGCTTCTCAACCCCGCCTCCAGACGTTTGTCCTAGCCTCTCTCCCAGGCATAGTCCCAATGCTAGGCACCAACTGAGTCTGGGATCAAGCTCGCCAAAAGCACTACAACATGCAAAGGCATGCTGCCCAATGTGGATCACTGACTCTGGGATGGTCAACCTGGCCAATGTGGCAATCTGCGAAAGGCCGTTGAAGAAGTAATTTGTGGTTCGTGATTTGGACTTTCGACCACGCGGAGAAGTTCCGAGTCAACCATGTTGCCAAGACTGGCAATTTCATCTTGGTTGGAGGCTATCACTGCGTTTGGTTTGGAGACAACATTCACAGCGATACCTTCAGCAATTCCAGCATCCAATACCTTTGCATCGTTGGCCAGCAATTGGTTGTCTCAGATAATCTCCCCACCTGCGGCGCTGCGAGTGAGCTCGTTCCAGTGCTGCCATCCTGCTGGAGCCTGCATCCTGTTAGCGCTAGCTAGCTTGACTTCAACCACTTGGCTGTAGAGCTGAAGCTTTTGCTGGCATGGTCAAAGACAGCTGCTTTGGATTTGAGCTGGTTGCTTGTTGGCTAGCTAGCCAGGCTTCTTCACTGGGATGGTGATTCAGGCACGAGTCACACATGATCTGATCGGAGTGCTGCGAGAAACTGAGCTTTGAAACTGGAGATCCGCTGATGTTCACACCCTCCAAGTACGTTCGGTTTGCTTCAGGTTTGAAACAGGTGAGTTTCATGTGCTTTCACACGATTCTTGTCAAACAATACGATTCTTGTCAACTCCTTTTCAAACTCGAATCACTTAACAATCTAACCCTTACCTACTTCAGGAAAACCCGTGTTTGGCTGAACATCGGGAGACTTCCCAAACAAACAGGTTGTTCGCCGGGCCTCTCCGCTCTCCATACATCTACATCCCGACAGAAGTGGTCTGTCTTCCTGAAATGCCTGAATTTCAGGTGTTTGCCAAACTCCCACTTGGATATTCTAGCCAGAAGTCTTACATGTCACTACTAAGGCCCAGGTGGCATAGATGGCTTGGCCCTCTACGAAAACGGTTCCGCTGGGCAGTTCAACTGGCCACTGTGCAGTTCGAGCATCCAAAACGTCTTCCATTTGGCCAGCAAATCCTCGGTGCACAGTGCGGCGTCGTGCGACTTGATGCAGTCGTCTGCACAAAAAGAGAGAAACTGGATGTATCCAAGGTGGTGTAAGACGTGGCACCGGGTCTCCCTGGTACCAAATCCATGCTGCATGCTCATTTGATTCGACCAGTTTGTGTACTCTGCTGTCTCCTTGATAGTTTTCCAAGCGCAGCCATACCGTACAATTCCTCTTGAAAATGCCTGCATCAGGTATGTCCAAAATCTCTCTCGTTCAAGCATGAGGATGGAAGCGCATCTGAAAGAACAAACAAGGGACCGAAGAGTGGGCTGAACAAAAGGAAACACGGATCTTTGCTGCTTATAAAAGAACCCAACCTTTTGAAAGAACCCACAGAAGGGTGGCTTTAGCCGCTACAGCCCGCGAAACCCGTAAGAACCTTCCTTGGCTTGTTGGATTGGTCAACTTATCTTCCACGGCTTCCACACTACAAGTTCACCGACGTCGGATGACCGACATGGTGGTGCAGGTCCACACCCCACGAGCCATGAGCCAATTGACATAGTCCTACAAGGAGGGGTATTTGGGCTTGTTGAAGGGCATGTGCCATTGATTCCTTCAAGGTGAGGTGGGTGTTGGGCATGTTGAAGATCCATACACAAAACTGTTGGATCCATGAACCTCACAAGCTACGACAAGGCAGACTGTAATGGTCCTTTGGGACACCACTTGGTGGTGGTCCACCACCAGGCCGATGGTTGTACTGACCCACCCTTTTGACCTGAAGAGAAAGACGTCCATCTTCTTAAGCCAACCCCACACTCAGATACACTCAGACGATGCCACAGATTCTGGCGAAACCACACAGCACCGGCACCCAGCACCGGCACCCAGCACGGACACCCTGTTGCAACAGCATGCACGGCCAGCTCACAGCACCAGCACCGGCACCCAGCACAGGCAGCGTGTCCTGAAAGTGCGCATGGTCATTCTTTTTTAAGTAAGAACCCTGTAGCTATCGCTTTCTGCGAAAAAGAAAAAACAAAACACCCAAACTCGCTGCACCTGCACAGCCGAGTAACTCACACTCTTGGGCGTGCCACTGGTACCCTTGCTCCGCACACTCCGTTGGCTCCGCTCGCTGGTGAGGCTCTGGTTGGTCAAGCGACTCGTGCAGCCAGTGGAGCAAGTGCTGCAAGTGGCACGCCCTTTCGTGGAGCGCTTGGCTTTTCGGTCGGCCTGCTGTAAGTGTGGCGAAGAACGATGGGGCCCGATGGGGAGGAAGGACTTGGAACAGCCTTGGATATTTAAAACTGATAGCGAAGCCTAAAGGACGAGTCCATGATGAATATCATGTTCGATGATATTCTTTTTTCAAGCCCTGCCGCCAAAGGAATAGCTCTTGAGTTCTAATAACCTTTCATGTAATTGTGCAGGCTCTTGATGGCTCTTGCTTGGTGGGTTCAGTCCTATCCAGTAAAGCGACGAACCCACACGTATCCGACTGGCTCATGGTCGACAGTCGAAAGGTCCAAACCAGAGGACTGCGCCCGTGCGTTTCATCAGGACTTCTGAGAGAACTGAGAAGAACTGGTGAGAGAACAATCCAGCAGATTGAGCAAAGGGTAAGCCCAGAATTCAGGATATAGTACAGCTCAAAGGGCAGATTGATCATGATTGATCAATCTTGGGGAATTTTGAGGCAAGAATCCTGACATCAACCACCACATCGGGGGACTTAAAGAGGGAAAGTGGTGGAAATATTTTCTTCCATCCTTCTCCCAGTCACTTCGATCTTGTGGATCGCTGTCCCTGGCAACACCAACAGCTCCTGCCCTGGCTGAACTCAGTGAACTTATCTATAAAAATAAGGAATAATATTCAGCTCACTCATTCCTAAGAGCCCATTCTGTTGATACTAAAAGAAAGGGGCATACATTTTGGCTACCCCCCCCCTGCGGCTCGCGGGCACCGGTCCCCACCCGGGTGTGGCCGGTGAACACGCACGCTGAACTAACCATCAATGGACCGTAGACCCTACCTAATTGCTTGATATATTACCTTGATCATCATTTTGATATTTTGATGGTGATATATCTGATATATCACCATCAAAATGATGATCGAGGTTCCTGAGTTGCCGAGATGATCCCCAAATTGACCGTTCAACTCTGTGGGATGATCACCCTTCATTGTCCTCCCCACCCGCGTGGATGGGTGGTTCCCGGCTTGGACTTGGCGCAAGTACTCGTCTGCATGCCGCGGCTTGGACGGGACCACCCCCTGCGCTCGCGAACACACGGCCGCGGTGCGGCCCGTGGAGGAGGACGGGTGACGCGCGAGCAGTGATGTCTGTGTCCAACGGTCGCCTTTGGTTCTCTGTGGTTCACTTCTTTGCATTGATGGGTCTGTATGGTCAAGTGGGTTGCCAACCAAGAAGCTCACGAAGAGAAAACATGTCCACTCTGGCCTCTGGTGCTCTCTCCTTGGGTGCCTTCCGCTTGGCACCGCTGCTGGCACCACCACCCATGGCGAAACGCAGCTAGGCGCGCCGGGTGTGGCAAGCCCTTTCGGCTGTCCCGCGAAGGACTTGAAACAATGCGGCGCTGGTGGCGCCTTGAGCATCGCACCAGTCGGGGAGCAAATCCGAACACCATGGCCTTTTCAACAACGAACCAAACCGAAACACCCATGGTCTTCTGTCTCGTTTTGGTGGGCTCTTGAGGTGACTCGAGAATCTTGCAGCGGATCATAGAGGATCCATGTGTTTGAAAAAGCTTCATGGCTGGTGAGCAAACATGTATCCATTGGCCACGTGAGATTCTTGGTTTCTTGGCGGTGCTGATAAGTAGTTTCCAAGTGAAGGAACTGTGAAATGATGAAATGAAAAAGTGCACTCCCACCAAACGCATTGCAGTGGATGCCATGGCCACCGACCAACTCCAAACTCCCAATGTTCAGTCCACTTTCATGACATTAGATGTCGAATTATAGCAATAGATGTCGATGACTTTGACCTTTAGAGTAAAGACCTGTGATCTTTCAGACCTCCAAAGGTAGCAAAAACAAGTCTTAAATACATGTTGGAGTCAGAACAACAAGTGCCACCGTCCATCGGGCTTCTCGGGGGGGAGGATTGTCCCGTCCATCGGGACACCAACTGTCCAGTGGACGCCCTGTTTGACCATGGATCCTGCCGGCCTACTTGGAACAAGGAATCCTCCAGTCAATTGCCAAGCCAAGTAACCCTCCAAGCCAATTCCTGGCCAGACCGCTGCATTGACGGACGGATGGACTTACCGTAGTTGAACAAGCGAAGGTATATGAGGGAAAGGATATCCAGTATGCAGCATGCAGTTGAGAACTTGTTTGTTTGGGTGGACATGTCAATGAATCTGTTCATTCTGTCTATAATACCTCAACACCGTACCCTCAATCTGATCATGAACACACCTGCATCCTTCTTGTCCACACTTGCGCATGGTCTGTTGTACCTGTTCCACCCACAAATCTGAAAAAAAAAGAACTTGACCACTCAGTGCTGACCATTTGCCCAGTGAGTTTATTCCTGTTACTCTGTAGCCGACCAAAATAACCCCAAGTCTGGAGATGCTGGTATTAAATTGCATTAATATACAACAATGACGATTCACGTCATTTATTACTATGTTTCTAAGTTATAGCTGATAGATTCCTGAGGCAGATATCCAAGCTTCCCTAAGGCATTCCAGGGTTTCCGAGAGGCACTTCCTGCAAGAATAATATCAGTCATGAAAGTGTGTGGAAGTCTGTTCAGAATTTACCTTGAACTCAGCAAGTTCAGCTACACTCCCTGAACCAAACATGGTTACGTGGATGGCATGGCCCCGATTTCGGATAACTTTCCGAATACTAAATAGGTGGTGCCATCCACTTCCATAATTAGTTCAGGGCCCAGCGAGTGTATATTCAAACATCTTCCTGCCGTTGGTCACCCAGAAAGGTTCGGCCTCCCCACTTTGCGGTGTTGCCCCAGATTCCAAGAAGAAAGCCTTTGGGCCGATAGGCCTGACATCCAAGAAAGGCATAGAGTTTATAGCTTCTTCCAACAGTTGTTGCATTAATTGCTCAATCAAACCAGCTGTTGCGTCAACGACGATAGAGTCGTCCTGGCCCAAATGAGGAGACCCGTGGCCCAATGGATACTTTGCCTGCTGTGAATGGATACGCCGTGGGACTATTGAGACACCAAAAAGAGAAACAACTCACCAACCCACCCAGAGAATCTATGATAATCTATGTATTGCGAACAAGCAGCATGGTCAGACAGAGCCGTGGATTATGGATGATCTCTAACATGCCCCCATTGTTATTGTCTTTTCACGTTTTGGAATGGGAGCCAAATTGTAGGCTGATCTATTTCAACTCTGTTTCTGTGCTTCTTCTGCGCTTCACAAACAAAGAAGCAATCTTCCTTGATGCGAAGACCGCCCAAACCCATTGGCCAAGAGGAGACACGGACACCGGAAAACCATCCAACCACCCAGCGCTTGGATGCCGCACCAGCACGAAGATGATGGTAAAGACGTGCCTTGGATCAGCAGAAGTGGCGGAGGAAAAGCTTCGCCTTCTCGCTCCATTCTGGTTTAAGGAAGTCGAGGTCTTGGGACTGTGCCGATGTTCCCTCACCTCTCCCCCAACCTGCAGAAGAAGCGGCTCTGCGATGTAGAAGCTGATGTGGTGATGACACTGGAGCAGTTCGGGCATCCCAACCCGCTCGCCCGCGACCTGCCCTGGCACGGCGATCTCGGCCGCCGCTCACCGGCGAAAGTGACGGCGTCCGTTGCAACGAGGGAAGAAGGAGACGTTGCAACCACGGGATTTTTGTTGACCTTGCCTCTTCCAGAAACTTCTGTCAACCGTCTCCCTGTTCCAGTACCCACAAGGGATTGGTCCAATGAGACCAATTGAAGTTTGGTCCAGCTGTACCCTACAATGATCACAGGATTCTCTATGCAGAGCGACTTGGTTGAGACAAAAGTCCATAGTGCCTCTATATAAAGCGTCTGAGTCTGAAAAGTTTTGCAAGGGTCCAATTCCATTGATACTGTCTTGACTGCAAACTGCAATCTATCGTTGCATTGGAAGTGAATTTCATCTTCCATTGCTAATTGTGATGATTTCTTGGCCTTCCCCGCACTTCGAAGTGCTTAGTGCGCTTGGGGCACCACTCCGTCATATGAAAGAACAAGGCTTGGGATGCACAGAACAACAACTCCGTGCAGGTCTTTTCAGCGCCACGACACACGACACGTCGCATTAGGTAGGAGTTGTTCGTAGAGGAAAATGCGTGTTCCAAGGGACCATGCCATCCACTTCCATGGAATGTTAGGAACAAGGACGCTACTAGCTAGGGGCTCCTGGCATCGCTACTAGGAGCTACTAGGGGCTCCTGGCCGTACTACTAGGAACAAGAAGCTAGTAGAAACAAGAATTCATTAGAACTAGAATGGAAGGTGTTTGTCGGAGTGAAGAGTCACCTAGCAGCCTGGGCTGGTGACGAGAACTGCAAGCCAAACACGCAACGATCGTTCGCTTGTTTAGTAAGGTTTAACCACTCCAAGAACATGTCTCCATTGAGAAGTGGTTTAACCACTCCTCTAGTTTCCTCCTGGCACCGTCCGAACTCATTAGGTGGTTGCATTCTCTACATAGTGAAATCACTGGGGGAGCAGTGCCATCTGTCCAGAACCTGCACTTTTCCACTGGCACCTAACAGGTTGACTCATGTGCCATGTGCCTTTGAAAAACCGTGACCCGTTGCCCAAGTGAGAATACCAGTGGCCAGCTTCTGTGTTTCTGTGTCCAGCTTGTCGTCAAACAGCCTTCACATTCCAGTTCCATCGCCATAGTCAGCGAGTTCAACAACACCACTATCCCGATGACTGTGTCCAGCTTCTCCTCACTGCGACGGCCCTTTCCAACCGGCAGCCTTTCCAGAGCTGGGGGAAGTCTTCACGGAAAATTGTGACTCCATATGGAATGTGGAATATGGGTCATGGTAGCAAACCATCCCAAACCATGATCTCCAACCATTCTCGGTCTGAAAACCCTGAAACAGGATGTTAGGATGTTGAACCCTCCGCAAGCGAGGACCCCCCAAGGACTTAGTGAGCCTGGTACTCCAGTTTCTTCCGTTTGGCGGGGCAACCAGGGAGTTCAAGCTCCCATCGCAATTCTGAAACGCTGAGTATGGCGGGTCCCTTACACAATCCCCCTGTGCAGGACCCCTGGATTAAGTATACTAATCCAGGTACCCTGGAGTCTTTTTTGCAAAATTGACCCTGAATGTGGCCCACATCTGAGATATATAATGTGTTATATATTTTTCCAGTACTTGTTAATCCTGAATGATCTGACATCCAGAAGCCTCCCCTTTCATCAACGTTCCACACTGTTTGCTTGGGTTGTCTGGGCAAGTCAGCAATCAAGATGTCTGCAGATCGCTCAGTCACAGCAGCTATAGTCCGAGGGTGCCCTCCACTATACCCCCTCACCACTTTCAGGAAAAAAATAAATCCAAACAAAATAATCCAGAAAAGTAATCCAGCAACTGGCAGGTACCCCAGATTAAAAATACTAAGGCTTACTAAGGTACCCCCCATCGCCGAGTGCCCTGTGCTTCCTGGCACAGCTAAGAGCAGGGCTATCTGACACCGCGGTTCCGAACACATGGAAGTAGACAAGCCACCAGTTTGTGGCTGGACAAGGGAGTCCTCACACGACACATCTATACTTTGAACCGGACACCCAATGTTGCTTGCACGCCCAGACACCCGGTGCAAACCTCAAAGACATACAGAGTTGATTGATAAGAAGAATTCAACATCTCCTGCTTTTAGTCAAACTGTTGGTAATTAGTAATTTGGTATCCAAATCCTTGTCGCTCAGACAGCGAAGGGTTCACCGAGAATGGCCGTTAATCGCGAAGTCCATAGTAGTCACTTCTGTAAAAGCATATAAAAGCATTTGCTCACTGAAAAGTCCATGAATGGCAGTTGCTCGCTGGTCCTAGTTTATGCCTCACACACAGACACACACCCTCTGTAGATTGCCCTACTCAAAAATGATGCATTTCGGATGGTCAACTCAGCCGAAGGGGCTTCGGATGTAGAAAGACTGGGTGCTACATGTTCCTACCAAAGACGAAAATGACAAAACCCAAAAAACAAACATACATACAACAAAAACAACGTCAAACAAAACTACAACAGGAGTTTGTCAAACCTTGGAATGCAGATGTGCGTCTGGGTGAACACCAATGAGAAAACATGAGAAAACATTGCGTTTGATGTCTGGTTGACAACAAGGCCCAAAGATCCCTGGTTGTAGAAGTGCATGAATCTGAACTTCTTTTGGTTTTGAATTTGGGGTGCCTCATTTGGAGAACCCCCCACGCTACAAGGAGAATCTCATCAATCGAAAAGCGCACAAAGGTCCCGGACAAACCCTTCGAAGCCCTGTCTTTCCACAAATCTGACTCAATCTCCAAGCAGCTCGACGCATGTGTCCGGAGACACGCATCCTGGGCGGTCAGGAAGGTGGGGATGTGAGTTTGTGAGTGCAACGGCTACTTTCCCAACAAGCTGTGGGACTCCACAGTGTTAGACTCCGAAGACATCTAGACAACCATGGCAAGCCCCCCCAGTAAGAAGTCGAACCTAGTTGAAGTTAGGTAGGACCTTGCCCATCTTCCGCCCTCATATCACAGCACAACCAAAACCAACCAGTCAAACAACATCCAACCAATACAACATATATCAGAACAACCCATCAACGCACTTATAAAGATATGTTATACAAAAGAGTTGAAGCAGATGAGAAGAAAGGAACACAAAATATTCAATGGATAGATTATAATATTGAAATGTTGCTTACCTATAATAAAATGGTTCATTCTTCAATAGGCATGACACCAAGTGAAGCAGTGAAGGGGAAGAATGATTTAAAGGCAAAATTTCACATGGCAACAAACGCAATCAGAACAAGAAAATACCCCGAAATTAAAGAAGAAGGTGACAAAGTCAAAATATACAGAAAAAAAGCAATAACAGAAAAGGAAAGGACCAGCCAATAGCTACCTACTGTATATGAAGTAGAAAGGATAGAAAAGAAGCTAGGGCAAAGTTATTTTTACTTAAAAAATAAGAGACGGTGATATTTAAGAACTGAACGATTGAAAATATAACTTTTGAAAAAAAAAATACTATAAAGAATATTTCTTGTACAAATGTTATTTAAATAAATAGGTTCTAAAGTATTTATATATAGTATAGTATGAGTAAGTTTGTAGAGAGGAACATCAATGAACAAGAGAAAACAAACAACAGAAAGAACCACAAAAGCAACAAAAAAGAGGATTGATGAAATAATCACATTATACTAGGAAGATATCAAATGTAGCAACCGCTGAAAATATGATAAAAGGGCTCACCTCTCCTGATAAAAAAGTTTATGATAAAACTGTTCAGAAATACAAGGAAAATATTAAGAAGTTTAAGGAACCGAAACCGCTAAGGGAAAGGATGGCAGAAACAAAGAAGAGGAACAAGAAAAAAAAACATATATTGTAGATTATCAATTATTCACATACTACAAGGGCAATTTAAAAGAAAGTGGCATAAAACAAAAGCCATCTTTTACACATCAAGGAGTTAATTAGTTTATATGGAACTTCAATGCTGAAAGTGCTACAATCAAGGCTACTGAATTTCCAAAAGATATCATTCAAAAAAGGACTTTTAGGTGGTTGAGTGTAGAAGATTTAGGAAGAGGTGACAAACAAAATCCAGAATACACAATGATAATAAAACTATTAAGACAGGATGAGGATTTTGACAGCCACATCACATATCATGAAGCCTTCTATGATACTTTGGGTTATATCAAAATTAGGTCAGTAGATGTAGCCAATGAGAATGGAGAAAAGTTTGATATAATGACTGAAAACTTAACTGATGTATCTAATGTATCAATTTATCATAGTTATATTTATACAACTTTGAGAACTGATGCTCAGACTATTAAACAAGGAATTGAAAAAGGTCATTATATCAAAAACCTTTGTTGGGTCAATGCCTTAACTGATTACTACAAAGATACTATTATGAGTGAGACATGTAGGAAAAAAAACAACAGAAAAAATCATTGATATTATAGGAAAGGATACTTTTTATGAAGAGGGGGCATCAATTAAGGATATGAACAATGTATTTAAGGAATATAGCATCCAAGTTAGGATATTTGATTTTTTTCAACAAATTAATATACAAATACGACCCTGTAAAAAGAAACCATCACCTAAAATGCGTTTATGCTATGGTTAAAAATCATCATGTTTATGCGTTAAATCACAATATATAACAATATAAAATAAATTCAGCAAAAACAAATATTTTCAGATATACCAGTTGTGAAAGCATCCAGTGACTATTACATAAGTGAAAGGGAGGAACCACCAAAATATAAAATGATAAAGGATGTAGATGACATAACCCAAATTGAAGCAGATGATGTGAAAGAAGTATATTTAACATTAAGTAGTAACACATTAACAGACGCATTGTTTAAATTAGTAAATACCCGAACCTAAAATCACAGTTCAGGCAGGTATAATTTCAGAAATCCGGATGAAATTTAATAAGGTTTCTTACATTAAAAAACTCAATATTTGTTGAAAAAACCACCTGATGGTTGTATAGCAGTAAATGAAGAAACCACGTATACTAATATGAGTGTAGCAATGTCTAATTTTTGTAAATATTTATTAAATCCAAGTCATAAATCATTTTGTAATGACATTGATATAGAAATATTAGATGAAGGAAGAACTATAGTGCCTCTGGGTTTGACTGAGGAAAGAGTTAAGTTAAATGGAAAAACTGAAATTGATGTGTCAAAAGCATTCACTGATGATTTTTTGAAAATAGATGAGATATCAGTTTTTAATCAGTTTGACATTTGGAAGGAATACAATAGTTCTATCAAAATTGAAGAGTTACATAACTTAACTTTATACTTTGCAAAACTGATACCATATGACTGTATATATACAAAATGGTATAACAAAACGTCTTTAATGTTAAATAAGAGATATTGTCTGGTTTATGGGTTATTCTTAAAAGAAATTTTAAAGGATGATGAAGGTTGGCTCAATGATGAAACCTTTGAAGTCTTATATTACAAAATACCTTCACAAATTCATAAAATCAATTACAAGGAAATAGTTAATGAACTCTGGAATAATAACATAAGTAAAGATACCAAAAAAAGATAAATATATTAAGAAACTGATTGCTAATGTAAATTTTGGTTTGTTGGAAAAAGGAGGGTCTACAAATCAGAAAAGTTTAGTATTCAACAGTATAAATGAAGCCATGGAATATCAAGCAAATTATGGAGGTAACCTTCTTAAAATTAATGATATAGAAGTAAATATGGAGGAGAATGAAGAAGAAATCAATCAAAGTTATTACATACTAAACATAAGAGATAAAGCAAAGTTAAGAAACGGGTTCAGATATATTAAGGAATTGCTATTACAACATCACAACTTTAAAATGAATAAAGCATACTTTAAACTATTCAAAAATGGAAGTTTAGTTTATAGTGTTAAAACGGATGCGTTTGTAATTGATACTGTTGATTTAGAAAAAGCAAAAAAACTTTTGGAATTTCACATTGATATAGGAGGGTGGAGAGCAGATAAACACAATCAAGATGTTATATTACCCACTGTAAATTATGATATTGTAGAGAGTGAACATGCTAAAATACCAACTTATGAAAATAAAAATATTGACGTAGAAAATGAATATGACACTGACAACATAATAGAATAAACAAAAGTAAATAATCCTATGATGATTAGGGGTGAACTGCCGGGCACTGGCAAAAGTTATATATGCCAAAAAATGGTAGAAAAAGGCTAATAAATTACTTCAAGCATTTGAAGGTGATGCTTTGACTGTAAATAGCTTCTTTGGTATAAACTTTGGTGATGCCAAGTTAGAACCATTTGATTATTCATATTATGATGTTATAGTATTTGATGAAATATATTTCAGTAGTTTGAACACATACTGGAGAATAAAACAGTTTGTTGAACAGAACAAGGATAGCAAAATCATAATAGCAACCGGTGACACAAAACAACTAAAACCAGTTCAGGAAATCACAAATATTCAAGACTATGAAACTTATGCTGACCATATCATTAACAACATATTCCAACATAATATTCTACTAAAAGAATGTAAAAAATTACACACACAGGAGGATAAAGACAAGTTGAGCAACATAAAAAATGACATTTTTGAACACAAACTGCCTATCAAAAATATATCTTAAAAATATTTTGAATATACAAGCAACATAAGTGGCGCAAAAAATAACATAGCATTTTTGAACAATACCTGTAAGAATGTATCAAATGAAATCCGGAAATTAGAGAACAGAAAGGGTGAATATGAAGTAGGGTAATTTTTGATATGTAGGGAATATACTAAAACACAGACTTCAACATTCAATGTCAATTTTAAATACAAAATTGTCAATATCGGAAGTGACAATTTTTTGACATTGAAGAATGTAAAAACACATATTCTTCAATCAGTTCATCTTGACAAAGTAAGGGAAAATTTTATATTTGCTTCTTGCTCTACTTGTCATTCAGCACAAGGTAGTAGCATTGATGACACTATCACAATGTTTGAATATAACCACTTTTTGGTAAAGAACTATCCAGAATGGATTTGGACAGCAATAACCAGATGTAGGGACTTAAACAAAGTAAAGTTTTTCAAAAACAAGCATGATGTCAATGATAGTTTTAATGAACAATGTATAATGAGCTATTTTGATAGGAAAATTGAAAATTACAGGTTACAAGACAGGAAAGCAAAAAGGAAAATACCAAAAGAAGGGTATGTTAATACTCAATGGTTTTTGGATAACATTAAAAAAAAACAGGGTAACTACTGTGGTTGTGGATTTCATATAGATATGAAAAAGGGTAATATAATGTCAAATCTTACCGCCCAAAGAAAGGATAATGAATATACCCATACATTGGATAATATAATACCATATTGTGAGAGATGTAACAGTAGTTGTAAATGATAAGCAACAAATGGTTTGAGTATTTTTGTTGTAAAAAGGTTTTAAATAAATATTCACATAATATTTCATGTAGTTTTTGACAGATGTTTTAGCAGATGTTTTCACAGATGTAGTCTTGAATAAGGGCAACCTTGCCACACTTTTTTTTTCAGAACATCATGTTGAAGTTTTGAGGTTGTTTGAATAAAGTTATGTTGGTATTCTGTTCGAGTTTTTGTTGGTCAGATTGTTCAACAAAATTGTTGGTAACCTTGTTGAATAATTATGTTGATTGTAGGTTGTTCTGGTTTATGTTAGGTTGGTGGTTCTTCTGGTTTTGGTTCTGCTGGTATTCTGTTATGACTATATTGGATGTTTGGTTTGTTGGGGGTTGTTCTGGTTTTTGTTGCGTTGATGGGTTGTTCTGATATATGTTGTATTGGTTGGATGATGTTTGACTGGTTGGTTTTGGTTGTGCTGTGATATGAGGGCGGAAGATGGGCAAGGTCCTACATAACTGTTGAACAGTCCAAAAAGAGGTAGTCCGAAATCCAAGAAATTGTTCAAGAAGTCTATCATGTTTGTCTTGGCCAAACTGGGCCGATGATCCCCCCCATCCCACAGCCATCTGCCCAGATCCCATCACCCACATCTGCCCAGGCACTCGCTGGGCATGTAGTGAACCCTCGACACGTGGCACTCGTCTAAGAGACCCAGCGGTACACCCGGGGTACACAGGTTGGGGCCGCCTTGCCTCGAATTGGGGACCAAAAGATCGGCTGTTGGACGTTTGGGGAAGCCACTTTTGAGCTCAAACAGGCTCTAAACGTCCAGGATGATGTGTGCGACCTTTGTTATCAAAGTGAACATTCCAGCAAGGGACACAGAGTTTCCCTGACGAAAGCTCACTGTCGATCCTTGGATTATCCAGGATATCCCAGTAGTCTTGCAGCTGACTTCCCCTCTGCGAAGCTACTCGCTGGCCCGTTTAGTCCCTCCCATCAACAGGTGAGGCACGACATCGTGTCAGTGGTGTTACCCGAGTGCTTCTTGGAGCACCAAACGTCTTGTTCCAAGCCTACCGGCACACAGGCCAAGTGTCCAAATATCCCGAAAAGAAGGGAGAGGAGTATTTAGGACGCTATGCTCGGTGGAGGCCATCGCCACGTTCGGTTGGAGGCGTTCGCTACTGACGAAGCTGGCGTTCGAAGTATCCCGATCCGCGTCCGGAGCCACCGATCGGTCCCGATCGGTTCGGTCCCGACCCCCCTGGAGAGGCTTGGTGGAGAAGCGCCTCCCATCTCTCGGCTCGGTGATTCGAGGCATGCCAAATCCCAAACGGAAGCGCTTCAGGACATGAAAAAAAATTACATCTCCACGGAGTCCCATCGCGATCCGCGGACCACCCGAGGGTCATATGTGTCGTCCCATCGCCCACTACCAAGGTGTCGTCCCATGCGCGAGCGTCTCAGGCCCATCGCGGCGAACCACACCCACTGGCCAAGCGGCGAGCTGGGGTCATGCGCGGTGGACGATTTCGACGAGCGCCGATCTTTGGTGGTCCGGCCCGTGTTCTCGGGCGCCATGGGCGGCAAATTCGATCCATGCGAGGAGGACCTGCCGCGGGGTGGTTGGAGGATTTACTGAGCGGACAATATGCAGTGGACCAGGGAATCAAAAACTCCCAGTAGTGAAAGTACTGAGGAAAGCATCTGGATCAAACAATTGACCTGCTTTCTGTGGACCTTGGAGCTGATCTTGAGAACATGGTCTTTGAAAGAGTGGTCGCCTGGCCCAGTCTGAGTTTTTGTTTCTTTCGCCCGTTTTTTCCCTTTTCCTAAAGATCCCATCGACCAAAACCTGGTCGAAGAGGTTCAATGAAGCTATCGATTCTGTGAGTTGTTGCCCACTGGAAGACCTCAAGCTGCGGACCTGCGGCAAGCCCCATCCCGTATTACCAGGGCCCAGTGGATGATGATGGTCAGGTTGCAGGCCTTTCACTAAAATAGTGTGATCATGGTCCACTGTTAGAGGTACTAGGACAAACCCAACCCATCCCATTAGTAAAAAACTGCACATTGTCACATGAGATGTGCAGGCTACAGGCTGAACTCAAATCAACCTAAACCGGCCACCCGGCACTCACCAAGTCACGTGGGCGACTGGGGAGGTAATCGCAAGGATTGAATGGAATTGCAAATCGCTTGTGCCTCCTTGGTTGACATGTCGACATGACCAGGGCTAACGCAAAAACGCCCATCCACTTCTCCACTTCAAAGGGAGACACAATGGCTAGCAGTATGATGGGTGCAGCTAACACTGGAAACGATGAGAACAAACAGCAACGTGGCATAATTAGTGACTAGAACCGCTAGAACTATATTGTAATTAAGGTGCTATCTCCTCTTCCTCAAGATGTTCTCAACAAGCAAGTTTTGGGGGTGCTGATGGTTGTGCGAAAGAGTATGGATGACATAGTCATTCGTTGGATCGTGCAGAAGATTAATACGAATTAATTGGACCCCGTGCGAACATCAAACGGCCCAATCCTGCGAAATGCACATGGGTTGGGGAGTTGAGCAACAGGGGTTTGACAAAGCAGGTGTTTGTCACTCGCCCATGCAAAGAAGGGCCGGCAACCGCCTGATGATCATTTCACCAGCGCGATGAAACGATCTGATCGAATTGAATCCAATAGCTGGACCACGAATCGCAAGCAGTGAGCTGGGCAAATAGCAACCAGTAATGTACCGTAGACTGTTGATTAATAAAGCCCTTCTACCAGAATGACATTAGATCTTCGTCAGGGTGTCTCATTAAAGAACTGTCTACAATCATCAGAATTTGCGGATCTGAGATCACGAACGACCCCTCCTCAAAAGAACTGCGCATGTGTTTTGGTTCTTTTGTTCGAAGCTTCACAGGTCTCTAATCGGTAGAGTCCAATCAAATCAGTACATGCGAGGTAGATGTGAATTGATGCAGCCAGTACGATGCAAACATGTCTAGCAGCTTCATTGGAATCTCTACAAATGATCAGTCATGTAATAGCCATTTCATTTTAGACCTTATGTCCTACCACACCAACCCATGACCAAGTCAGTGCCTTTGCCACAAACATGTTGACACTGTGATTGTCTGCTTGCAAGGGGTGGGTGTCCTTGACTAAGGCTCCAGGTCTTACTGCCATTAAGAACTCAGCGGGCATGCCAACATGAATGTTCTTACCACACCAAAGGACGTCAAGGTGCTCAGGTTCTCATCAGCGGCCCAACACTCAAAACATTAGGAAGTCTGGGTCTCTGAGAAGATCTATAGGAAGTATGTAAACACGTGAAGGACTCAAACAAAACTGGCATCAACTCACACATGAGCCATCTCAAAAACCCTCTCTCTGCGTTGCATGGTTGATCATAGCAACATATTTGGAGAATGCCCACAATGCTGACCCCCCCTCAGTCTTCTCGGAAGATCAAGGTCGTCCAGCGGTTGGTCCAGCGGTCCAATCAAACGTCTCTGTGGTCGCTGCCGCGTCCAAGGCACTGGAACATCGCCTGTATCACTCGTGAAGGGATAGTCGGAGGTCTCATGGCTCCTCTGAAAGGCCTCCATGTCCTCCAAGCCAGGGGCTGTGGCTGAGGACGGTGGATATTGTTTTTTTTGGGGTCTCCCTGGCTCAATGGGTAGACCGGTGCATGTCCCTTCTTCCAGGTCGAACTGGGAGGTTCCCTACGACCTTTTTTGATCCACTTTGGATCTTGTGGACGTCCAAATTCCAACTCCCCCTTGCCATCCCATAAGGCCTCATACATACGAAATACACTGGGACGCCAAAATTCATAGATGAAAAGCGCCCAACCACGCTGAACGTAGAGTAGAAGAAAGAAATTTTCCACCCCAAAAGCAAAACTGCCTCAGTATTTATACCAGTGTGATAAATGGGGTTTGGTAATTCGGTGGAACCCCCACATCACCACAGAAGATCAGAAGATGTCAGTGTCCTTCTTTCGTCCTTCTTCTGTCTCTCAGATCAAAACGGTGTCCAGAGATGTCCACCTCCATAGTGCCAAATCCCGCGCCGCGCCTGCGAATGCAGAGGCAGCTCCTGGTCCACCCAGGGGGTCAAGCTGGGCTGCGACGTCTTCTCGACGGCGCTGATCTTCTCGACCGAGGCCCACGTCACGGACGGCACGTCGCCTGCGGGAGAATGTGGGCCTTGGACTTCCAACGAAGGATTCAATTCTAATCTAAGGAACCCTGGAAAAAAATTGATTTAAAAAAAGAAAGGAAGGGGGTGGGTTGTTATAGATTGTTTTCGGCTTTTGTGGCCAGACTAGTCTTGCTTCCTGTTTCGACTGCCTCCTCCTTCTGCCTGTTTGAAGTGGCCCGACTTCCACTGGCACTTGTGACGATCGCTGGTGCCGGAGCGACGAAGCCAGTTTGACCGGTGGCGACACGTTTCTCGCCATCATTTATATACAGCTGTTTCCTGTCACCGAGCATTTTGGGGGGGGTACCGAATCAAAGCGTTGTTTGATTTTTGTTGGAATCTTAAGAGGAAAAGCAACGCGGACCACGCCTCTTTCGTCGATTTTGATCCTCGGCAACAAGGGAGGAGCAGTTAGCAGTTGCATACTACTATTTACAAAAGTGTACTGACACAGTTATTCGCCCCCCCTCTTTCCCAAAGGCTTCTTCGCCTTCAAAATAAACCCTATGTCACCCTATATGCTAAACTACCCAGCCAGCTTGTCGGTGATTACCAATCATGGGGAAATCACTAGGAGCGTGGGTCTCGGAAACTCGAACGTTGGATTGGATTCAATTCTCAAACTAGCAACGCGCTCTTTTACCATGTTTAAACAGTTGGTTGCTAACATTAATGTCACGTCAATACCCCCTCCACATCACCACCACCACCACCACCACCTCCTCCTCCGCCTCCTCATCATAATAATCATTATCACCAACCCCCGCCCCCCACCCACCAAACAATAGTGTCTGAAGCCGACAAAAATAGCTTCTGTGCCCGGAAACAAAAGGAATAAAAAACAAGCTTCTGAACCCCAGCAAATCTGAACTCTACAAAACCTGCTTCTGAACCCTATAGTTTTGAACCCAAGAAGTTTCTGAACCGCAGTTTCTGAACCTGTGGTCTTAGTTCGGAACCCGGGCCAGTTTCTGAACACTATAATTTGTTCAAGTAACTGTGGAAAACCTGCGATGACGCAACAAATGAGCAGCATGTACAGGCATCTTCTGGTGTTTCGATGGTATAGATAGAGATCCTCAAACCTAAATTATAATTGGATCATAAGACACCAACGCCAGTCGAGTGAAACTCACCCACGAGCACATCCACACCATTCACCCACCCACAACTAACAACCCCGCCACCTAATTACCCCACCAAGCTTCCCCGGGATTTTCAGTGCTGGATGTTCATCACCGCCCACCTGGCCCATGCCTCCGTCCAAGCAGATTTTCCCACCACAAGCAAGGAGTGCGCGCCGGGCATTCGCCACCGACTGGCAGAGATCCTCCTGGCCGAGAGCCGATGTATACAGTAAATCCTTCACACGTCTCAGCCGTTGCAGGGCAGGTTGTCAGTTCCCTTGGGAAAACCATTGACTGGCCAGGCCATGATATATCACATGGTTGGGTAATTGGACACACGAAAGTATGGCACCTCCAACTGAAGCACGAAGCACCTCGCAAGCCACAAATATGAAGCCTACTGGAAATACTAGAACTACTAGAGCTCCATTTTTTGCTATAGCTGTTTGTACTCTTATGTCTTCATCTTGGTTCCTCTTCACTGTAACAGTAACAAAGGCTCGATATTTGTTCTCATGATATAAGTTTTATCTCACAACAACTTCATATCAATTCAGCTGCATCAAACTACCTCCCCATACCCAGCTGGATCAGCTATGCTCAACCCTTCTTTGTACTTTGCACCACATGCGCGCGCCTGGCAGCTCTTCACCAAGAGCTCAAGCTCCTCCAGGGCGTCCAGTGGCTCCTGAGACTGGACCGAGGCCGCACCCAAGGAGGTGGCAGCTAGTAAAATTGTGGATGAATAAAAGCCACCCATACTATAAAACCATTCTGGAGAAAGGGGTTGTGTGATCAACAGTCTACATGACCACCAAGCTTGGCTTGAAAAAACATCGAACACCCTGAACTGAACTCCGCATCGAACATCTCCCAACACCAAGCCCCAACCGCTCCTGCAATTCCCGCGCCATGCGGACGCGGCGACGCGTCCGTCCGGACGCGCTGCGGACGCTGTGGGACGGTCACTGGCCGCTCGGCGGAACGCCGCGTTTGACGGCTCAACAGCTAAAAGCGAGGGGCAAAGAGATGGGTCAAGTATGAGGGCACACCACCTTCGGCAGAGCAGGTGTTTGAGGTCCAACGTATCGTCAACACACGTGTAGCTGGGTAAGTTCCTACCGGATGAAACACACGATAACACACTGCAATGAAGTCAACCAAGTGACCGAAGTCAAATAGCCTGAGGATCTGTGTTTACATGTTAAGACCTATTGGTGGTTTTGAGGGGTCAGAGTGGGTGCATGGTCACTAGGTACATGATATGCGGAGGCCATGACCGGGGACATCGTGACACATCGGTTGCGCAGCATGCGTAGTAGGCAGAAACATGCTTCTCCAACTACCCCACCGTTCCGGTGTTCTAGTCGCAGCTGCTTCAACCATCAAGGTGTACAAAAGAGTTCTAAGATGAGTTCAAAAGGGTTTGGGAGAATAAAAGTATCAGTCATGAAAAAGGTCCACCTAAAAATGATAGCAACATGATAGCATCACTTTGGGCCAGGAAGCTTAACCGGAATGTGGTACTCAACCTGATAAGCATTTTGTGCTTTTGCGTCTCTTCGGGAACTGTTCATGGAACCATACACACAGCAAGCATTAATGCTAGTATTCTGCTGCATTCTAGCTTCAAGTGAATTGCTCATCAAAGTCCATGCCTCAAGTGGTTGTAAAAGGTCCATTTCCCATCAAAAACAAATCAAACAAAACATGTTCGGATACCGATACCGATGTGTGACCTCTAAGGCTTCGGATAGGTCTGAAGACGGAGAAAGCCCTGGTCTCACTCTCTTCTCGCGCCCTGGTCGCCCTGGTCGCCCTGGTCGCCACAGCCATGAAGTAGGCATCAAAAGCGGTCCCGACATCGTCAAAACGACCTGTTTCCTAAAAGCATACAACATCATTATACAATTTTATCACAAAGTCTACCGCAATGGTCACTGAAAGGAAAGTTAAAGCACGATGACACAAGTACAGTAATATACCAATTCCCCCAGGAAAACCTGTTGTTTAAAACCATGATCGAAAGGGTTTAACCATCTTATGCACCTGATTTGTTTCCAGTCAAGGGGGCCTTTGCAGGGACACCAGTGGAGTCCTCCAGAAAAGATGGCGACTCCAATGAAATACGGCAATGGTCATCCACATGAACTATTTGGATCGGTCGGATATTTCATGCTATCAAAGAGTTCATGTTCAGACGGTGTCAATGAGTTTCATATCCACCTGGTGCTTGAGATCTATAGGATAGTCGTTTCAGCTGTTGCTGTGTTGGATTCTTTGTCTGTGAACACATCCTCTGCATATTAGTGGGCCTCCTGTTTAAACTGCGGCGCTCCAAACAACACTGGACCGGTAGTTGCATCATTTGCGTCTGTGAATCCCAGATCAGTGGCATAATGTTTCCATAGCATCTGAAAACCTTAGGGGCCTAAAAACCAATAAGCTAGTAACAAGAAGTTTTTTTCTTCTCTCTTTGAAACCATATAAACCATATACTGTAAACCAACTGTCCCCCTGACTTCACCGAGGCGCATGGTCCTGCAGCATCCGGATCCGGTCGCGCCTCGGCGTCAGCACCGGTTTCCGGTGAGCGGTCGGATCAGCGAAGACATCAACCGGAGCAATTCGGACAGAGACCCGGGGAAGAAAGGAAGTAACAAGTGCATCGCTACTAGGAACAAGTGCCTTACTAGTAGTAACAATGTCCGCTACTAGGAACAAGTGCATTGTTACTAGTAGCGATGCACTTGATCCTAATAGCTTCTTGTTAAGTGGGGTAGAAATGGACCAATCTCCTTGTGTCCTTGCAAGTCTTAATCGTAGACTTGTGTGTGCTTTTTTGTTTTGGGGATTTCGGATTGCATATATTGCGGTGTACAGGTGTTTCTTTCTTTTACCAAGTCCGACCAAATCATCATCAGTCAGTGACAAGACCCTCCCACTCTCCTCCGCTTCAATTTCTCAGAAACAGGATCCAGCAGTGGGGGATCTCTACCCGAGACTGTTGCTGAGTTGGCGTGACTGCTGCTTATCTTCCTACCTTCATAATCAACTATTTCAAGGATTGGTGAAAGTTCTAGCTGCTAGCTGCCGTTCACATCTTTTATAGAGCCCACCCATAAACGCAGAGCTTCAAGAAGTCCCAGATAGCCCGCACGCTTCTACCTTTCCCCCAAATGTTATTACGCAGCTTTTCACTTGTCGGCTTTTGCATTTTCCCAGTTTGATCTATGACTTCAAATGCCTGTACATCTGACATCATGGATATTCCCATCAAAACTCAAATCAATGAACATGTTTGAGAAAAGCCCTGGCTCAATCACCACTGGTGCCTTAAGCCAATACAGAGTCTTGAGGAGGGTGCAAGCAAACATGTTGTCTGTGTGATTCTTTGAAGTTTTCGAATCTATATTAAGATTTATTGAAGCTGAGCGGGAATCTCAAACTCATCCAACTCTGCAACAGCCTCTCGTCAGCCGTTAGGAAGTCCAACCAAACATCACCAGACTGGGTGTGTCTACGAAGAAGGAGGGTAGAGGATGCTACGAACGGAGCAAAGGGCATCGCTACGAACGGAACAAGGACGCTACGAACAGGGCTCCTGGCATGTCTAGGAAGACGGATGGATGAAACCCTTCGGCTGTCCTTCATCCTCTCCCCTCCGTTTCGGTCGTCCCAGGGGCAGCGTCACCACCATCTGCGAGGCCGCCAAGCCGCGGCCGTACAAGTCCATGCGCTGTCCGGACCGGATCCTTAGAAGGCCGAGGTGAACGAGCGGAACCATCCAATCGGATCGGTCACTGCGACAAATCGAAGCGAACAGGAGGTATGAGGTATGCATATAAGTATCAAGAAATTGATCATAACTAGTTGATCACTTTCTATCTTGTTATCGTTGTGGGGCCACCATATATCAATCAACTGTAATCAGAATACCGAAACAGGTAGATCTTGGATCCTCGGAAAAGAAATGGGCGAAGACACGCTTCTGTCCGCTTCTTTCAGACAATGAGAAAAGATGAGAAAAGCCCTTGGGCCAGTAGATGTGACTGGTCTCCTGAAAGCTCTGCTCCTTGCCCGTGCACCTCCAATGGTTGGACTGCAGCAAGCATCCCTACGTGCTTGACACCTCGACATGAGGGCCTCCCAACAACTAATTACAACTGCTACAAGTAGCAAGTTTATGCAAGCTTCATGGACGACGTCTTGATTTGAGGCGAACGTTGCGATAACCCCATGTGGCTCGCATGAAAATTAAACCAAAAGGAGAAAACTCCCTCGTGAGGATGCCGAAAAGAACCAGGTGAAATCCTCACTGCCGATCTCAAAAGCCATCTCGGTGTTGGGTCATGATTCAAGACTCGTCGACCTCAAAATCTGCTGCGCTGGACCCTTCAGTCCGGCGCGCTGGACCCGACGTCGCCAGCGCTGCGCTGGCCACGTCTTCACTGGTCGACCGCGTCGGCCCGGCGGTCGGGACGATGGTGCCAAGCGGCTCCTTGAAGGTGTCGAGCTCGGCACTGGCATCCTTCTCAAAGGGGTCCAAAGGCACCTCAATCGGGATGAGCACCGCATGATGGGGTGTCTCCGCGATGAAGCACATCTGAAGCCCAAACAAACGGATGCCACTCAAAGGATGGACCACTTGGCTGGCTGGAGAAACCAAATAAAACATGTTGGTACCTCTATGTACCTCTTGTTGGCAAATCTTGGCAAAAGGAAACAAGACCCGTCCTCAACGAGGAACAACAGAACAACAGGACACCTGTGCACGTTCACCTGTCCACTTTTCCGGAAAATCCTTTCATGAAATCTGGCGTTTCCGACACTCCGGTTCACGGATGGCCGTTTCACGGATCGCCGGGGCGTTCGTGAGCGCTCACGCTCCATGGGCGGACTCAAACTCCCCTGGGTCCCTAGCAGTGCCCGGCTCCTTGTGCACAATGGGCTTGGCATTGAACTCCGCCAAGAACTCATCCACCTGAAAAATTCCGTGAATGTTTGATTCAATGAATTGAACAAGCTGACTTGATGTTTGCTTTTCAGTGTTATGCAGGGCCAATGTAGGGCATCGTTTTTACAAAAGCTGACATCGTTTAGCAAATGTGCGCTGCCCAAAACTGGAAAATATATATATATATACAGAACGGGTGCTCCTGGGAGATGTTTTTCATGCAAAAAATGATACAAAAACACTATGTCTTACAGTGATTTCTTGCAAAATCCTCTCCAAAATTGAGGTTTTGAGCTATTTTTTGATCAATTTTGTGAGATCCAAGCCTATCCCAATTTAGAGGGAATACCAAAAAAACAAAAAACCAAAAAACCAAAAAAAAAGAAAAAACAAAGTTTGAGACACAATGGGGTCACTATTGGTTTTTGGATGTTGGCTGCATTTTGTGTCAAACATTGTTTTTTTTTTGTTTTTTGGTTTTTTGGTTTATTGTTTTTTTGTTTTTTTGGTATTCCCTCTAAATTGGGATAGGCTTGGATCTCACAAAATTGCTCAAAAAATAGCTCAAAACCTCAATTTTGGAGAGGATTTTGCAAGAAATCACTGTAAAACACAGTGTGTTTGCTTCATTTAAGTTTAACGGTGGAATTTGATGTTAAATTGGATTTCAATTGATTTTGGTATTAGACTTCAATTAAAACGCTTTCAGAATTATTGGTGGAAGTTGATGTATCATTAGCTTTCTATTAAAAATGTGTTTAAGATTAATTGTAGATTTTTTACAAACTAAGTTTCATTTATATCATTGTCAAAATCATTGGGGAAATTGATGTTTATATTAGATTTCAATTAACATTTCTTCAAGATTAATTATAGAAAAATGTATGTTTAATTCAACTTCGATTAAATGCCTTTTCAAGATCATTGTGGCAATTGATTTTGAATTAGATTTCAATT